TGATCGTACGGACGTTAAGATTACGACACATTTTAGGGTCTAAAATGCGGTACACAAAAAGTAGAAATTAACTTTATAATACGTTTATATCCTTCGGCTAATATAAGGTAGGGAAAAAACACCCACCAACGTTTGACTGTGAAATTTGTTGGGCTTAATTCCCACTTCATGGGTCAGAGGGTATATAATTAACACTGTAATGGACGTTATTATCGAGATGTTAAAACATCAAGAAAAAGGACACATAATGGAATTATTAACACAGAAAACATATGACTTCACCTCCTTTTTGCTTTTTCGTATTTCGGTAAAACCATGATTTGATCACGCGATGATAACAGTATAGGTTGGCAATATTGTGGGAATTTTAATCTAAACACATTCCAAAGCCTGGGAGTTATAGCGACTAAACGAAATCGCTTATACTGAATATTAAGTCTCTAATCCCCTGTTGTAGAACATAGCTTTATCGAGCTTTAATTACGTCTCAAACAAATTTACACATGATCGTATCAGCTGTCTAATGTTGTGTATGGTGATCATTATATAAAAAAAGTCCTGAAGGTCATTATTTTCCCTGTGATCAGTTTAGCTAATATTGGATGCGGAAGGTATTTTTATCATTATTTCTATACAGGTAATATAATTAGCTATCAATATTGATACGTTCATTATGTCAATTCTTTCCAGTCATGTACATTTGTAAAGTTAAACGTTGGGCGGGGACAAGGTTTCGCTGGCAAATTTCTATGTTATAGATTAATGCTGCTCCCAAATTATGGAGTTCTCTTTTGTGTAGACATGCTTCAATGTATATCAATCATTGTTAATGTACAATAAGAATTACTTGGGAGTGCTAACTTAATGATGAACAACGAGTTTATACAGACATATCTCATGAAGTAGGTAGCTTAACAAGGAAACCCCGAACAGAATATTTCAAACAAGAAACAGCTACATTAATTTTTTTATTTACTATTTTCTGCAAATGTTCTGAAAAAAAATCTACTGCTAGATATCCTTCATGGCTATATGAAAATAGAAATGTAAGCAAACATTGTGCATCAACAATCGGTATGAGTCATGACAAGTCATGTGTTCTTGCGCATGCCCAATGACAATGCAAATATCGATATAACAGAGGATGGTACTTCATTAAGATATTATGCAGCGCGACAATAAATACTTCGTTTAGCTGTCAGAGTTTTATAACATGTAAGTTGGAAATTTCTTTCATTGTATTGTTGATGAAACGGGGATGGGATTTGGGGCAGAGGACGCTAAGACACCAACTCAGCCAGGTTCAGTTCATACATATTTATTCAGAAATAGATGAAAACCTGAAACAATACAACACTATATTAGATGGACAGTACATTACGGATTACCATAGGACACAATTTCAACAATACTATAAGATAACAATACCATCACAGATTGGACTTTACATTACATTACAATGCATTACATTACATTATCTTAAAATATTTGAAACTTGAGATTACTGATGACTTTACAGACAATAGTTTAATTATAATATTACATGTGTACTATATTAATTACTATGACATGTTACTTTCAACAAACTATATAGATATACCTAATTTGAACTGAACATGAACACTTACTCCATCATTGTGACAGTGTTCTTGAATACAATGTATATGATACGATGGCTATGATGAACAATGGCTTGGCCTAAACAACAAATATAAAAAAGGTTCTCTGAATACAAAGACTACTACAATTACTTCCATAAGATGTACAATACATACATGACTAAATTAGGATTATTTTAAATTCCCAAATTCCTAGAATAAATTAATTACTTTTAAACATTATGGATATTTCAAAATGGCCACAAGCCTGAACACTTTTCACCTGACACACTAGCACAGTGAATCAATTAAAATAAGATATTACAGATATATAAAGTGCACTAGTATAGCACATCATAATTGACTATGTAAATCAGTTACTATTACATTATTAGCATTGAATAAAATTAGACATTAATACATTTAAACAAGTTAAAAGTTCCTACTTCCTGCCTGGTGTCTGTTATCCAGTCAGCACTGAGATACCCCTGTCCAATGCTCATGCCCAGCATGTGCAGTGGGACAGGTAGGGAAAGAGTCACATGACCAGCAGTGGGACAGGTAGGGGAAAGGTCACATGAATAGCATTCAGGTAAAGGTCACAGAACACAAACATAAACAGAAGCACATGACACTACACAGCTGACAGCTGGACAATAACACAGGACAGTACTAGACACCACGATACTGCACAATCATCATTATTATCATGTTATTACAATTTAATTACAATGCAGAATATACTGTTTATCAATAATATATATATATATATATCATCATCTGAAAAAACCCGGACAGGCTGTCTCTGCCACATTGACACAATCACTAGAGTTATATATGCTTATAAAAAGTGTCTTTCCAAACATGTTTCATTGTTATGATTTTCAGCAACAGGAATCGGGCACAAGTTGTTACAACATTATCAAAGCTTTTTCCTCAAAATAAACTACGTTTACAGCATTTGGCAAAGAAAGAGGGCATGAATTTGTAATTACATATATACGGATAGTTACATTAATCTCCAAACTAAGAAAATCAATTAATCAGACTAACTGTAATTTACAGTCTATTGTTAGATTTAATGAAATTGTGTACATTTCTAAATATCATTACATTAGTGGCAACAGGCAGATATTCATTTCTATAAACAAATTAATTTCTAAAACAAAATTACATTTTCAAGATTAACGAAAAACAACATCTCCGCTGCTTATAATTGGGAAAATCAGAGTAAAAATGAAAAGTCCACAAGGGTTTCCACTGGAATGCATCATTAGCCATATTTACACAAATTAGGTCATATCTTAAAGAACTACATCGATGACGTAACTTTATGGGAATCATATTTAACTACCCGTCACCACATCCGTAGTATATCGGGAGTTTTCATTGATCTGGGGTTATAAATGATTTAAAAGTTTGCAGAGATAGTGACGATCTGGGGTGGTCGGGTGGCGCAGTGGTAATGCACTCGCCATTCACCTAGCCGACCGGGGTTCGATTCCCGGAATGGACGTGAAAAGGGTCACCTGCCCGATCACGTGGGTTTTCCCCGGGTACTCCGGTTTCCTCCCACTATAAGACCCCTCGCGCGCTTACATCCGGGCCAACAAGAGTGATTAGTATAAGTTGATATAACTTGTTTCGCAATTGTTGTAAAATAAATAAAGTTTATATTAACGGGACGGTCTGTATGTAATACCAAGCGTACTCCGTAGTGAAAGTGCGGAAGGAAAAAAATAGTTGGAGATAGTCTGTTGTTCAAAATTACCAAATCCTGTTTGTTTCTTACTGGATATGGAATAGTTTGACCATCTGTTGGAGGTTTCAAAAATTCAAAAATTGAAAAATTAAACCACTATTCATCTCATGCAACAATTGTTTTTCCTTTCCATTCTAACCTAAAGTGTTTGAAGACCTGTTTCAACATATATATTCGGTTCTATGCTAAAATGAATAAAAATGTATCACGTTTGAGCATGTTTTTCAAATTTCTTGAAGTATTAATCTTTTTCAAAATTGAAAAAAAAAATCTATGTACTAAATGTTGATTTCAAAATGAATCTTGATTTATTTCTGGGAAATGTCATCCTTTGTCGTAATGGCTCACAATATTTCATATTCTAATTCATCGAAAAAGTTTTAGAAGTGTTACCATTTTTACATACGAATTGAAGAGAAACTGGATTATTTATAAAATTCTAAGTAGATGGAAAACGATGAATATGTTCAAACTGTGATTCAATTATGTGACTTGACATGACATATAATAATTAATTTTCATATTCTATAGATCCGAGAATGGGATGTTAAAGAACTCCTAGACTAACTCCGAGTTATTCTGACTCTCTGGCGACATTTTTTCCATATAATGGTCTGGTGTCGATGAAGGACTCCAGATCGATGTAAGAACGACAGAATAAAGTTCATACAATCCTTCTGGTGAATTGTTCTGTCTATCCATTCATTTGTCAGATCAGAAGAGTGATATTTAGTCTGATGAGAGTAACTGAGTGTCCCTTTTGCCAAATCTATATATATTCTTTATTTTAAAAAGTTTTTTCATATCATGTTTTGTAATAAATGTATATTATGGAACTCGTGCCTTCTTGTAATTTGTTCAGTTTAAACTATGGCAAAATCATCGATATTTTTAAAATATATTATTGATTAATGTTGTTGACGGATCACGCGTATATTATCACGAAACCCACTGAGATTGCATGAGGTACTGCTAGTTGACTATGTATTACAGCATTCCTATTTATGATATCTTTTAACACCTCAGAAATCGACTTAACGTTAAGACGTAATGACTGGGATATACTGCCATTGTACAAAGTATACACGGGCATAACATATCGGAATATGGTCTAAATGTATCTATTTATTTCTACTCTATTTTTCTAAATATTAAACACTTGCTGGCCAACTTACTACGATATACAATCTGATAAAGGAAATTGAATAAATATATGAATGAAACATGTAAAAGCATTGAAACAGCCATATTAATTAAAGTTTCTGAAAGAATGTTATAGACTGGATTTTAAGCATAAACTACAAAATGTGAGTGTAGCCATATCTCCATACATATTATCACTACACATCTACCTGGTCAATTTCCAAACAACTTGCATATCTACTGGGGGTTATTTTTATCTCTCTTTATGTTATATAATGTACGTTTTTAAGGTAGCACTATACAGTTTATCGGCGTATACGTTTTGTCTATTAGATTAATCCGTTATTAAGGGTTTTATCAAAATTTGAAAAATACATTCTCGCTAAAATTGGTCTTGACATGTTGAAACGGACCATGTGAGGCTTCATATTTTCAGAATAACACTTTTGTTTGGGTTTGAGACTAGTATTTAAACAGTTTAGAACCACTAGCTTTACCGGAAGTGAAATGGTTATCATCCATACTGTCATCATCATCCACATTGTTATCATCTTCACAAGCATCATCCACACTGTCACCATCCTCACTAGCATCATCCACTCTGTCATCATCCACTCTGACATCATCCACAATGTCGTCATCATCCACACTGTCATCATCATCCATACTGTCATCATCCTCACTGTCATCATCCACACTGTCATCATCCTCACTGTCATCATCCACACTGTCATCATCCTCACTGTCATCATCCACACTGTCATCATCCTCACTAGCATCATCCACACTGTCATCATCCTCACTAGCATCATCCACTCTGTCATCCTCCTCACTGTCATCATCCACACTGTTATCATCCACACTGTCATCATCCTCACTAGCACCATCCACACTGTCATCATCCTCACTAGCATCATCACCACTGTCATCCTCCTCACTGTCATCATCCACACTGTCATCATCCACACTGTCATCATCCTCACTGTCATCATCCTCACTGTCATCATCCACACTGTCATCATCCTCACTGTCATCATCCACACTGTCATCATCCACACTGTCATCATCTACACTGTTATCATCCACACTGTTCAATCGTTCAAACACACATAATATCTAATTATAGCATCATACACACATACATATCTAATAATAGTGTCATACACACATACATATCTAATTACTGTCATCATACACACATCATCATCTAATTATACTGTATCATACACACATACATATCTACACTTAATAGTATCAAACACACATAATATCTAATTATAGTATCATACACACATACATATCTAATTATATTATCATACACACATACATATCTAATTATAGTATCATACACACATATCAAATTATAGTATCATACACACATACATATCTAATAATAGTATCATACACACATACATATCTAATTATAGTATCATACACACATACATATCTAATTATAGTATCATACACACATACATATCTAATTATAGTAACATACACACATAACATCTAATTATAGTATCTGTCACAATCCGACTCTATTTTTACGGTAAGTATTGCTTTACCGGCGATTGTACGGTTGCTCAGGGCTTCTATAAGATAGAGTCCACCCGGTATTGAATACAGGTACACGGCATGGAAATGCAGATGCCGTTTTATTCTGAAGAAGCGTGAATAACAGTCACGGTAAGTACACAAATGATCTCATATCTCTTTCGCTTTCTTTCTCTGTGTATATATAATCTGTGGTTTGAATGTTTATGCCGAAAGTTATGTTTAAGTGTGTATGAATGGATTTGTTTATTGTGTTTACCGGGTACGCTCGTGCAAGCTCGTGCGAACTGTTTACGTAGCTTTCTACCTGTAAATGTTGCATAATGAAGATACATAACGCTTGTTATGATAACAATATATAATACCTAATGTTGTAAAGGTGTAACGATCATACTGTAGGGTTATTTTCATATTTTGTAGCTTCTTATATGGATAGGCTTTGTCCAAATTGGGAAGTACGGAAGCCGGGAGACTTCATGTGTCTATAGCAGTTCTGACTCTGCTTTATGTATAAAATTGAACAGTACTTGTACCAGAGTTCACAGTGCATGGTGATAGTGGGAGGTAGAGTACACTACGCAAGTGCACTCGAGAGTAGCCAGTACGGCCACTAATTTGCCCTGTGGTTGACACTTACATGTTGGAAACCAAGAGGTGTCGTGCCAGGTTCGTTGCTTCAAACTGAAGCCATCAGCGCTGGAAGGTACAGAACCAACGAGGCATCAGTCGGTTTGGACAACAGTTGTTTCTCCATGAAAGTGTTTTGGACAGACTTTGAAAATTCTATACCATCTGTGATAACCCAACTGTGATAGGAATGTGAGGCTACAAAGACTTTAGGGTTTAGGTTTGTTGGTGATACTATATTTGTGATTTGTGTGTGTATGTACTGGTGATTGCGGATTGTTTCAGTGGAAGGTGTAATAAGTGTATGGTGAACTGATTTTTATAGAAAAAAAAAACAAAAACATAACTTGTATAAATGTAAATATATAAATATATAACAATGTGGTTGTCTGTGTGGCAATCGCTCGGCTAGGTTACAGTATCATACACACATACATATCTAATAATAGTATCATACACACATACATATCTAATTATAGTATCATACACACATACATATCTAATTATAGTATCATACACACATACATATCTAATTATAGTATCATACACACATACACAATTATATATCATACACACATACATTCTAATAGTATCATACACACATACATATCTATCTAATAATAGTATCATACACACATACATATCTATTTATAGTATCATACACACATACATATCTAATTATAGTATCATACACCATACATATCTAATTATAGTATCACATACATATGCATACACTTTGGATTAATCTAATTGAATTTTACAAACATTTTATTGACAAACACGATTCGCACAAACTCTTCAGATATTGTCCTTTTTTAAAATATACATAACTTATTGGAAAAACATTATAGAAATATATATATATGATATTGTCAAGTCTAATTCTACAAATGACGTTAACAAATCCTGTGTGTTCTAACTAAGAGAACTCACTGATATCAATGAAAACAGTTGATAAAGAATGACGAATGATTTACCATATCGTATATTTTCGTTGAATTAAGTTTTCGCATTTTATCTAATATCATAATTTCATTTTGACCTGACGCTGATGATTTCGAGGCTTAGTTTAGCACAACGAATCTACTTTTACTAATTTTAGCAATTCTTGCACATATAAATTCGTTTATTTAGCGTGCACACGAAAGCAACGGAAATTTGACTTTTTTCCAATTTATTCCATAGGAAATGGTGTACGTGTACAGGGACCTTACTGAAAAGGCCTTATTTCTATCTTTCATTATTTTCAAGAATGACATATAACCACAAAGAAAAGAAATAAACTTAATCCGACTAAAAAATATTAATTCAGCCGAAAATATGTCTATCTGACTTTTGATTTCAGTGGAAAATGCATCATATTTGGTTTTGCTAGAACCACGAAAAACATAACTATCAAAACACCCTTTTTACACATGACATTAAAAAAAATTGCATTTAATATTTCAATAACTATATTCAACTTTATTTTGTCGAAGGCAGGGAAACGGATAACATAACGAATAGCTGACTATTTTCGCGGGGTGATATTTTCGGTATTTCGCGGTAAATCATCTTGTTCACGAAATATCAATTTGTGAAATAGCGAGACAAGTGTGTATTGCATATCCTTTTACATTCAAATAGTGATTTTCTTATTCCTTGAAATATAAATCGGTCATTTCAAAAGCAAATCGCGAAAATTGTGACTCCTAAAAAATACCAGCTATACAATCATATAGTTCACGTTAAGACATAGTCTTATTCTTTGCAAATGTCTTATGATCATCATTTTCGTCTTTAATCAATTGTCCATCTGTAGTTTTACAATAATAGTTGAACGAAAACTTAATTTTCAAGTCCGCTAGCTCACAGGATTTCACAAACGAAGTATACCTTGTCATCACACCGGTGATCATCGACTCTGCCTTGAAATACAATACCACATCTAACGTCATGTTCATTTTCAGTGACATGAACATGTTTGCCATTACTCCAAAACCATTCTCCTTCTGTATTCCGGGTAACACCCACATACCAGTACGTACCTGTAACAAAGTAATATTCACATAGTGAAAAATCGTCCAATATCTGCACTTGCACTGCATACCGCAAAATCATATATTTTAGTGGGGTGTCAATTTTCGTTGTTTTTCAAAATATCACTTTTCCGTTGACGCTTGATTTTTTATGGCTAAACATAGCTATATGTACATACTAATACTAATGTCAGCAGTTCGTGGGCATATGGATTCGTCAATTTAGAGTACACAAGAAATCAACGAAAATAAATAGTCAACAACAACATTAATTTGATAATTTGTTCTTGGACTTCTTCTATTCGCGGTGTAGAAAATGACGCTCAGGAGGCGCCGCTATGGGTATGTTTATGAGAGATCACAGTTGAAATCGCTGCGGTTCTAACGATGTGTATCTGGTTATTTTGTTTTTTAAATATTTTTAAATAAAAACAAAAATGTGTGATGACAAAAATGAATATAGTGATTACTTTTTATTTATGTAACAAGATTATTATACATCATGGTAACTACATATCATACGCGCACCAGGCATAAGCATGCAGTCATCCCAACATGAATACATCTGGATTTACGTAATTGTCTCTGTTGCTTAAGGGGAGATAAATCTTTGTTGTTTAAGCAGTCATGAATCATAACAGGTTTACATAAGATAAGCACGACATTTGTAACACTTTTTTATGTTTTAAAACCAAATCTTTCGTAGGTAGTGTAATTACTGGGAATTTTGTGAAAGGTTAAACTAAACATGTGCCGCCATAAAGCAGCTCAGCAGGTCGTATGAAAACATCAGAGAGAGACAGCAAATTTCAGATTATCGTCTAAAGATATACTAGCGTGTCACCAGTACATACTACAACATCAGTAACGCCATTGAACCATTGCGTAAGTAGCATTCCACGCAAGATCACATGTAGATGACAGATAATTAAGAAATGATAATAATCTTTACAGTGACGCCCTAATCGACCCTCTGTTGAATAAATTAGGTTGGCTACAACCAGGCCATAATCAAGTTGCCTTGCTTCGATAATTCCTAGACGACGTGAATTCCCGGTACATAATTCATACGTAACCTATTTTCCATTTCTGTTTGGCGATATTTTTTATCGTTTGATGGATTTAATGAGGGTGGAATTCTAATACTGTTGTGATTGATCCAAACCATGATAACAGAGGGAAAGAAAGAATTGTGTGACGTATGTGAACAAAAGTCTTGCTCCCCCAGCCGGTGACCTCCACCTTATACGGGACAATATTTCCTGTATCATAACGGAAACAAGCCATTCAGAACATTTGGTGCCATATTGTTAGAAATACAATAACATAGAAAAAGGACAGCATCTCCTCTGTTTTAAAGGAAACAAACCAGTTTCCCCTATTTTAAAAAATCTTGTAAGCAACTTCAAGAAACCAGTGTATTCATACATTTTTTTTCAGACTTACTTCAGTATTTTTTCCTTCAACATATCTGAAAAAGTACATAATGCTTTTTTTTTCTTTTTCTTTTCATTTTTCTTCTTAAAACATGTGCAAATACCTCTATACATTTTTTAAACTTAGGTATTACAAGACATACGTTTGGCGTAATACCATTTTTATTTAAATGCTATTTTAACCATTGCTGATCACTGAAGCAATTACGCTGCATTTGGTACTGATGTAAATAAGGACAACGTAGATAAAGGTTTTTTTTTTTTTTTTTTTAAATTGATCTATTTTTACGTAAATTTAGAGAATAGTAGATGACGCATAGAGCGATGAGATTGGATGATGAGGAACAATAGTCGAAAAACATCTTGTAAGATATCGTGCCAGTAAGATATCATTTCATATATCTTATAAAAAAATTTTCCCTTTCATTTGTATTTGTTGTTTTGCTTTGTGGAGGGGGATACGGTAGCCATTATTCAGTTTTACATCTTTTTTCAATTGATGTTTTTACTTTATAGTTGTAAAAAATTTCACATAACTACTGTAGATCAAACCCGTGACCATTTTTTTCAGAAAGAGGTATGGCGCATTACCGTGACGGAACACCTATTTCAGTTCATCGAATTGACCGATCCAAAAATGTACATTCCGACTCACCTTGTCTTACTGTAGAACATGTACGCCCGGAAAGTGGAGTGTTTTTTTTTCCTCTAGTTTTCGGTATCAGCGCTCACTTGTACCAACTTTCAAGGATATGATTAAAACTACATCTGATTGCAATAGGTTGGTTTGGCTAAAAGTTTGTAGATTTGTGCTCTGTGTGTCAAAATTGGGAAACTCGCGTGTTTTATAGCGGATTGCTTATGTAGCAACTTTGACGATCTGTTAAAAAGTAACACGTGACACCTACACAAAATAGGTTTTTGATAATTGTTCTTTGGATAAAGCTTATAGAGATAACCAGTCCAATCTCATCGAAATAGAAAATGCGTTTTTGTGTTTTATTTTTGTTGACATTAAGGTCGAATCGGACCCTTACACACCATACCTCTTTGCAACAAAAAAGTAAGACATTTTTTCCCCGTTTAGATGTACCTGTATACAGTTTACCTAACAAATACCAACGTTTCAAATGATGGAGAGCACCATACTGATTCAAAGCTTCAATTCATATGATTTCGAATTATATTTCATGGTAAAATCATGGTTTTTTAAAAAATTTAAAATGGTTTATTTATCTGCAACCATTACGAAAGTCTGTCACAAATCAGATAATAAAAATGACAATCATTGACGCTGCTTTATAAATGAATGACAACTTACCATAGATATCGTATGTGTTATACCCTATACGTGTATTGCAGTAATACGTGTATATATCAGAATCAATTTTTTTACCATAAAGAAAAAACACCAACAACGTAAAACGAAAGCAATTAAAACAGAAATAATCAGAAAATTAATCGATACAGAAAGGAAACGATGAACATATACATTTATATATGTAGGATCTTACAATGATTTTTAATTTCTTATGAAATTTTTATGTAAGTTTAGATTTTTTTAAGTATCGCAAAAAACGTTTCTTTTCATAACATCTTGTACGAAACAAGATGTATACGCTTTTCGTCACAGAACTCAGAAAAAGTATGACAAGTTTAAAATAAAATTATGGGGGACAAAACCATCGCATTGCGCCATAACATAACGCCATTGTCCATATTAAGACAATACAATCGATTTCTGACTGATGCATGCAATGTAAAATTTCCACGGCATTTAACACTAGTTATCTATACGCAAAATATTTCAATGATTAACAGGTTGATTATGTGATATATATATATAATTGATTTATCTTACTCGAGATCCTTTGTGTTTCATCAGAAATGATCTGTAGTTTCCTCGTCGTATCCAGAACTGCAAGTCTACCAAAATTAGAGTTACAGTAATGTTGAGCTTCCGAGTGTGTTCTTGTTGAAGGATACAACCCGAACTGCTTACCATCAATGTCAATGAAAGTATTATCTCTTCTGACGGAATATTGTTGAAGAACTGCAATCAAATCAAACTAACATTAACAAGCTCCAAGCTGTGTATCTTTTCTAACTGTCGATGAAAAGAATTTTGTTTGTTAGATAAATTGTGCTCAGTGTCCAGATATCCTGCTACTCTCAATATCGTTACATCTGCGTTTAGACTTCAGTGTTATATGGATGTCATCATTCCATATTCTACGAAAACTGTATTAACACAATAATGTATGTAATGCATGTTCTTTCAGTAAAAGTGATTATATGAATATTCATGACTTAAGTAAAACCCATTGAAATATGTTTATTGTAAACTGAATATGCAATAAGTACAGGCAGAATTCGCAGCGAACTTCCTGAAGTCTACATATTTGAGATATTGATCGGGTAACAACTGTTTATAAGAGGGAATGCTTACCTTTATCTGGTAAACAAATGCTCCCTTGTCCGATTGCAATACATGCATTCAAAATATCGCATTCACTAATGAGACAGCTGCCCCCAATCTCCTACAGAGAAAAACTATGAATCAGCAAAACTTAGTATTCAATATCAATATTATAGGAATTATTTTGAATGCTTTAGGTTACAGGAAGTAAATTATGTTCTCTGTATTTCCATCTTATGTTGTAATTATGTGATTAAAAAACACTTCATTCTTTTAAATTTAATAGACAGTTCTTCAGAAACAATGCGTGTGGTTTTCTTGGCTAAGTATGATATGGTAGCTATTGTATCAAAACACACCTGCACAATTCAGTCAGTATTTCAGTACATACCCGTACATATCTTACCATTATATCGTTACGTACCCGCACATATTAAACATAATAACTGTAACTACCTGCACATATTTAGCCTTTGTATCGGTATATGTCTACACATTTCAGCTATTAAATCAGTATATCTGGTACTTTTTTTCATGATTCAAACATACATGCACATATTTAACCGGTGTATTGGTACATACGGGCACATTTAATGAAAAACGAGTTTTAAATGCTAACTGTTATTAAAACACCAACACTTATACATGTGATCAGCCCATGTATAAATTAAGGTTACATATTATAGAAAATTAGAATTAAGAATAAGACAACACCTGATCAATGTTACTTCTTCTCAAGTAGATTTCTGAATGAGAAGTATCTGTTGTATTGCTACATGTATCGCCAAAATAAAGGAAACACTTGAACTGGTGTTTGCTGTATTTTAGTACTTCACAGCCGAGATAGCGGACACATGCTTTCTGACATTGTATAAACCCTATCGCATACAACGACAGGAATGGATTCCCACATGACATGCTATTTGGAGTCATCGCCAATGATGAAATCAGCTCTGTAGCGTTAACTTTGGTTAGAAAATGGATAAACATCTTAACCACAAGCATACTGAATATATCCATGGTTTCAATGTTGATCAAAGTTACAAGTTTCCAATTAACGGCAATGTGTGTTGTGAATCTCAATCACATTTATAAACGACGACGTAATTAACAAATACTTCTGTTATTCGCTGTTTTCACTTTATACATAAATC